GTTTTTGTTTTGATAACTTTTGTATTGGTTTTTCTTGTTTGGTACTTTTTGTTTTGGTACTTTTTTTTATACGTACTTGGCGTCTTTTTTTTCTTTTGTAAAGACTGTATGATCTCATTGCTTTTTGTGTAGATTATTTAGGTACAGTCTTTTACATTACTTTTTCAGCAAAGAAAACGTATACATCCTTGGAATTTCGTGGCCAACTGCATTTTTTTATTGTGGAATCATTAACTGAAATCCATTCTGTGTGCTTATTACGTACAACGCTTTTATAATGCCCATTAGTTATACTTTTACCATTGTGGAAAATTGCACTAATAATTTTATATATATCTGTGCCTATACGTACTTTTGACGTAGATACATCTTTAATTCTTAAATTTGTAATTTTAAACATTTTGTTATTAGCGGTTTTAAATAACCATAATTTTAAAATGAAAATATTTTTTATTGTTATTATCTCTTATTTTTCAATTACTGTGTTTTCTCCACAATGAGTATATATTTTTTCATTATTTGTCCAACTTGTAAAATTATATTCTATTAATTCTTGTAAAGTATATGATTTTTCTAATTTTTCTGGTAATTGAAATAATAGAACATGATTTGACTGGATCTTTATATTCGTATAATTACATATTTTGCATCGTATTTTTACACATATATAATGTTCTATTCTTCATAGCATTTATACTGCTAATAAGATGTTATAAATTAAAAATTATATATATATATATATATATATATATATATATATATATATAAACTCATAAAATAAAATAAAGATTTTTAATAATAAATAACGTGCAAGAGTATTTATTTATGATAGGGAGGTGCACAAAAAAAATGTAAATTCAGTCACATCAATGTGATTGGAAATATTTTGTTGATTCAGTAGCACTATTATAAAAACCAATAAGTTATGCCATTTAATTATTAGCTTATTGGTTTTAATAATATTGCTAATCAACAAAATATATTCCAATCATACTAATTGAATTTACACTTTTTTCAGCGTGCACAGACAATTTCGTAGCACATTTTACTATAAAATTTCTTCTATGTAGTGATGTATCTTTTCCTTTAATGTGAACTCAGGCTATGTTCCAATATCTACTACTAGTACTGAAACTCTGTATGTGTACGTAACATAAACTATAGATCTTCAATACTAGTAGTGAATATCGGAACACAGTCGTAATCATCATTGAACTTTATTACATTTATCAATGAAATTGTTTTATTTTATTTATAAGTTTACGCTAGACGAAAAGATACATGATTGATATAATGTTTATTGTGCACGTAATGCGTCCATTCTGATTGGTACAGTCTATAACTCTCTTAATCGATTTCTAAGTTCTATCGTTGGAATATGATTAGAATTAATTCCAAATAATCACGACAAAAAGTAATAATATTGTTGTCTATCTAGGTATACTATTCACAGAATCGAATTCTCTTAACGATCATTTCATATCATTTCTTTTTCCATAATTATGAATTAACGGAAGCCTAGTCAATCATAAAAAATCAATTGTAAATTCATAGAATGCGCATCGTAATCTATCGTAGAGTCGTTACGTCAAGAATGGATATTTTTCTATCGTATTATTTTAAAGATTGTAACACATTATGGCTAAATATTTCGCATATTCTAATTTTTTAATAAGATACTTATGCAAAGAGAACACACACACATAAAGTATTAATCGTGAATTTACGATTGATTTTTTATAATTGACTAAGTTTCCGTTAATTTATGAATGATTATGGAAAAAGAAACGATAAGAAACGAATAAGAGAATTCGATTCTGTGAATAGTATACTTAGATAGACAATGATATTATTTTTTTCGGATTCGATATAGTGAAATGATATATTACGGTAGAAAACAATTAAATTCTCTGCAAATTCCATCAGTTTCTATCGCTTTCTCTTTTTCATTTATTATTATCATAGAAATTTATTACAGTTTGAATTTTAGCTATTTTTGCTGTCTTATAAAGTGACCTCGTAATTGTAATTGCAAATGTGTGGGTCTCAAGTGATTATTTTATTTTATTTACAAGTTTACGCTAAACGAAAAGATACATCGATCGATTTAATACGAAAAGATACATCGATCGATTTAATATTTATTGCACACGTAATATGCGATTTATTGGACACGTAATGTCCATTCTGATTGCAGTCAATACGGAAGTCTTTATAATAGTTCACCTGCGAAAATCTTTTCTTTCTCGCCAATTAATTTTAAATTCAGATTACATGTTTGCAATGCGGATCGCGGACTTCACAAGCGCAGATTGACATAAAACTATAAGAAAATATACTTGAAATTGTAATTACAGCTTGATATGTACATCTAATAGTCGATTATAAATCTTTTCTTCTAGTCTAACGTAAATTCGTGAACATGTTGCTTATTGCAGCCTATATATATTACAAACGCAATCTGACGGACAAAAGCGCGTCGCTTGTGTGCGTGCGTATACGTGTGATCTGAAGCTAAATCGCTTGACGATGCAAATGTGGCTTGATGGACAAACTGATTCGCTTGTGTGCGTGCGTACGTGTGTCTGAAAAAAATGAGAATCTGCGCGAAAATAAAAAGGCTTTTTAGCGGGCGAGATTTCGAGATCTCCGCATTGTCTGCACCAATTTTAATTAAACTTGGTGCAAATTATACGCGTATTAAACATTATATAAGGAAACTTTCATTAGATTTTTGATTATAGTGTATATTTTTGAGATATTTGACTCAGAAGACCAATCGACCCAGAAATTCCAGATAAGCTTACACGGTCGCGTTGTTTTGTTTGATACGTACTCGGCGTCGCGCCGCGACCGCGGCGCTTGAGGATTGGTACTTTTGGATTGGGACAAGAATAGCACGATCGTGCTGCATGACATTGAAACGGTTAAGAGTTATTCAAGTGCGTTGATTAAAATCAGACATCCCGTATAGCATATAAAAATATTGTCTATGTGCATTGTAGTGAATAGAAAGATTATTTTTAGGATGAGTCTGTAAACTCATCCCAAAAATTACGAATAACCTTTCTGTCCATGATCGTACACTCGTAAAATCTGTAAAATGATTTGAACACTTCTTTTGATGTACTTTAGAACAAAGCCGATATTTCACAGAATAATTTATTTCTAAGTAATCTTCATAAGCAAAATTTTCTTATGTTTTTCAAAATGTCTCGATTGCGTTTCGAAATATGTCAAAAAAGATGTTCAAACCATTCTGCAAATGAGTGTACCTCATAATATTATTTGTGTATGTGTTCACATATTTTATACTACCAGATTATTTAAAGTTTAGCTTGTTTTCAGTAGTTATAAAGATAGATTCGCGTTTTTTAAATAATTTTATTGAGTTGTTAATACTGTATAGTAAGAAAGATAGTTTTTCTGCTAGTTTTCCATAATAGAAAAAGCTTTGAGTATAAAAGATTTTTATACAATATATCTCTAGGGCATATTTCAGCATTTGTGTGCGTGTCTTCTACGAAGCTCTCGTGAGAATGTAGAGCGAGTCGCGGTAAACATAAAAGTCCTATACCGTTTTGCAATATTCGTAATAATAACCGAGAAATTAATTGCGAAAGATTAAAGAAAAGCATGTGCTGAATGATAGAGGACGAAGCGCTCGAGTCACAATGCAGCCCAATAATATAGCGCGCGGATGTCGACGCGTGGCGATTGGAAGAACAATGCACTATCTGTGCTTATATCGCTGCGCTCCTACAACTTACTTCAGCGCGGTGCAGCAAGACATAGGAACGCAACGATATAAGCATAGGCAGTAGTGCGTTGTTCTTCCAATCGCCACGCGCCGATATCCACGCACTATATTACTGAGCCACGCTGTGATTGGAGCGCTCCGTCTTCTACCATTCAGCACACGCTTTTCTTTAATCTTTCTAATTAATTTCTCGGTTATTATTACGAATATCGCAAAACGGTATAAGACTTTTGTGTTCATCTTGACCCGCTCTACGTTTTCGCGAGAGCCTCGTAGATTGTTCTTAGACACCCTGTATATACATATACAAACATTGAGAAAAAAGCGGTTGAATCGACAATAAGTTGTCTTGATATTATTATATCAATGCAGATAGTGATTTCAACGTAACTTATTGTTGTACCAACGCATATGTTGTTAAATAGATACTATACTATACAAATTTATATATATACATATATATTTATGTATATAAATTTTTATAAAAAAAAAAAAATATATATATATATATATATATATATATATATATATATAAAAGAGATTTCGCTGTCTTTTTCGAGGAAATTAATTCTAAAGCCCAATGTTCACGAAGCGTGCTCCGTCGCGAGCTTGACAGTTAGTTTTTCCAGACAGATTCAATGTTATTTTCTAAGTGTGTTGCTAGAATCCCAATACAAACTGTCAAATATAGTGTAATTATTGGTCTGTTCTTTCGCTCTGCACTGCTGCACTAGTGCAATAAGTTAGAGTGAGACAGATATATATTTGTCTCTCTCTAACTTATTGCACCAGTGCAGCAGTGCAGAGCAAAAGAACAAACCATATATCTGTTCTCTTCAGCTGCACTACTGAACAGGTGCAATAAGTTAAAGTGAGACAAGTATATTTTTCCTAACTCCAACTTATCACTAGTTCAGCAGTGCAACTGAAAAGAACAGACCAATGGCTAACGTCAGCTGACATTCGATCTATCTGATTGAATGAACTATATTAAGCTTTAAAGTTTGTGAATTTAATTTGTGTATATCTGAATAGGTACTTTTGACATCAACTTCAATGACAAGCAACTCGTTACCTTAGCAGCTTCAAACGGCGCTAGACCGATGTCCGCGAAGAATTCCGCGGAGGCCGACGATATCAAATACAGAGTAGTTCTGTATTCGTAAGATAGCTCTTCGCCGGCTAACGCCGCGTAGTAAACTTTAAAAACTTCATAGAGTCCAAATTTGAACATTCCTTGAATGGAATAGCCGAAGAAGGTGGGCGCCCAGCCTCTTACCAATCCGCGGGTGCCATCTTCGGCGTGTGTAATCTAGAATGAGCACCAATAATAAGTACACTCTGCGGAAAAATTTACTTATAAAGAGTAACAGACAACAGAAATAATTACACGAAATCCATGAAACACAGATTTGTATTTTTTGGAGTCCACTTGGATTCGACATTTGACTAAATCTAAGGGGGTGATCATGGTGTGAGTGATACCACAGGACAAAACCCCTCCGAGACCACATAGTAAGAAGTAATGGTTGGATCCAAATTCGCAACTGTCTGCAAACACACAAAACGACTGCTGTATAAAATTATATTTCTTTTTTTCCTTTTTACTAAAAGGACATTATAAATCAGTAAGAGATACACAGGACGAATAATTCTTTTACAAAAGAAAGTGTATCTATGATTGAATATCGGAAAGCCTTAACACTTATTTACTTCTTTTTTCTTTTTATTAGAAATTTTGTTAAAAAGGCATGATATCCTCGACAGCCAATAAGTAAAATGTTAGTAGTATGTCGGCGGTCAATTAGAATGGATCACATAGCTTCGTAAAATAATTCCTGAAATGCTAAATTTGTTGACTGTTAATGTAGTTTGTGATAGCCGAGATCTGCATGTATAAACACATTTAATTTCTCGATTTTCACAATATATCACTGAGTTTGCTGTATATTTTACGGTTGTAAGGATCACGATAATATACACACTTCACGGAGAAACTGAAAAATAACGCGATAAAACGCAAGTAACTTTCCGAGGTGTCAGGCGAACATATCGAAACGTAAAAAGCAAAACACATATACAATTGCCTAAAAAGTTGTAATACCAAGATTCGAATATCACATGTACATGCGAGATGACTTTCCAAAATATGATTTTACCGAAATATTGAAAGCATACATAATTAAAAAAAAAAATTATATCAGAATGCGACAGAGAGAGAGAGAGAGGGGGGGGAGAGAGAGAGGGAGAGAGAGGAGAAGAGACAATATCCTGATTATTATTATATTATTAATTTTTTACAAGTAGAGGAAATAAGAGAACTATAGGTAATAATCAAAAGAGATATTTTGTCATTTTGAAATATTGTCTCAATATTTCTATTTCGGAGTTATATTTTTTTTCGAGAAAATTGTATTTCGAGATCCAGACAATGCAAAACTCCATGATACGTCGTGGAGATGTCCTCTGAACGTTTAGAATGCCCCTTGGAGGTCTGTCTGGGAAAATTGTCTCGATATTCGGATTTCGATATTATGACTCTTTAGGAAATTGTTGAAACTTTTCGAGACTTTGATTTTACGGTATATTGCATGTTCATTCAAATTCGATTAGAATATCTTATAACATAGATTCTTTCCTTCCTTCAATACTTGGCTAGAGGTGCTGTCACGGCTCATACCCTAACCATTGTTCCCGTTGGTGCTGCCATCGTATGTGGATAACATAGATTCATAGCTATTTGTGACCATATTAAGAGCCAACGTACAAGCACATCCGTAACATATTACGTTACGTTAAGTATTGACAACAATGGCCAACCTGTATGTAAACAAACTTAAATCAACGCACAAAGAAATCCGTAAACTTAACATGTTACGTTACGTTAAGTACTAACAATACAATACTGACAATGGCCATACTTTTACGTAAACTTATAACGTGTTCGACTGGCCCTGGGTTAATCGCTCCGAGAGCGATTATTGACGTTATAAGTCTCTATTAGCCAATCATAAAGCTTATAAGTACTTATTCGACCAATAAACGTGGGCTGAATAACCCAGAGTAGGTTAATCTAGAGCCAGTCGAACATGCTATTAAACTTCAACGCACAAAGAAATCCGTAAACTTAACATATTACGGGTGTTCTTGAAGCTCTCAGGCTCTGCTATCTCGTCGCAGAAAGTCTGAATTGACAGTGGCGTCTAGTAGTTTCGAGAACACGAAATAACGCTGTATCAGCGTAGCTGATTAGCTGACACTAGACCAGGCTCACGCTAGGCCTCGCCTGACACCTCGGAAAGTTACTTGCGTTTTATCGCGTTATTTTTCAATTTCTCCGTGAAGTGTGTATATTATCATGATTCTTACAACCGTAAAATATGCAGCAAACTCAGTGATACTGGTAATATATTGTGAAAATCGAGAAATTAAATGTGTTCATACATGCTGATCTCAGCTGTCACAAACTACATTAACAGTCAAAAAATGTAGCATTTCAGGAATTATTTTACGATGCTATGTGATATATCAGCCAGATATCTAAGTTTGTTGTAATTTTTACAGGTTTCAAGATTAGGAAAATATTTGGTTCTTTAGGGAAAAGTAAAAAATAAAGCAATAAAACGCAAGGAACTTTTGGTATGTCGGCGGTATTCCAAAAGGATTATTTTAGAGATGCCGAGTATCGGATGGGTATAGGGGAGGGCAGCTTTATTTAGAGGTACCCAAGTCCTGGCAAGACATTCCTTCCCGTATTACCGTATCGCATTAGTCGTGTGTTCTGAACACCACGAGGAAATAGGACCAACGAGCGAGTGGACGAGAGCGAGAGGGCGAGCGACAAAGGAGCAGCCCTTAGATAGACAAGAACTGACCGGAGGACTTCAGGCCAGCAGTGGAACCATCGATAATGTAAGAACGCCAATCCGGGTCTTGTCGCAATGCCGGGTCTTGTTGCAAAAATTCGTGGTTAGATTAACGTTGATGATAGATGAGAACAAGCTGCCGCACTTGGGGGTTGAGTACTGGGGCATCGCTCATATTTTGGTGGCCGCGATCCCAGAGGGGCCGGCAAAATTTGGTATGGGTGAACCAATCGGGTTCGACACCCTTTCGCGTTGCGTAGCGATTGTCTGGCTGGGCCCGAACCGAAGTGTCGGAGCGGACGGCCTATCCCAATTTGTGTTAAGGGGAGATATACACCTAGGAGCCGGAAAAAAAGGTCATCTTTGTGAATTTTTTTAAGGAAAACTATTTGAAATTTCGGATTGGGGGTTTTTCTATCTAAAAGTATACACATTCAGGAATATGTCCAATTTTTTTTTATTAAAAAAAATCAAAAATTGACGAGGTTGTGGTATAATCTTTGGATCGCCGTAAAAAAATCCGGGTAAACGGTACCCACTGGCGTTTCTTCAAAAATCATCTGAAACAAAAAAACCAAAAAGATTATTAAATTAGATACTATAATCTAGTACTTGTCATAGCCGATTTTGAAAATATCGATTTATGACAAAATGGCGGACGTTTGAACATAACATAGCGATTTTTCGACCAAAAATTAGTTATTATTTTGCCTATAAAACAAAAACTAAGCAACGAAAAAAAAAAACCCAATGACAAGTACTAGATAATGATGTATAGAATAACCACAAAAAAATTCAAGGCAATCGGTTCATTGGTTTTCGAGAAATTTTGGGTACCGATTTGAAAAACGTGGTTTTGAGAAAAACGCGTTTGAAAATTTGGGAATGAATAAATCATTAAATTTGTCAACTTACATGGAATCATCGATACCAGGCCCATAGTGTAAGTCTTCTACGGTCGACGGAATGTTCATATTTTCTAAATTTTGTTGTCGGCGCCGTATTCGACCTTCTTTAGTCTGTTCTTGCGCTTGCAGCTCGGCTTTCGCTATGCGAGTTTCGTCTTCTTGCGCAGCGTACAAGTGCGCGCCCGATCCGACTGATATTCCTAATACGTTCATAATTTCTAACAATGACGTGACACCATTGTTGAACGTGCATGTTGCAAGAAATGCAGCAATGTTAACAATTTTGGCCCCGCTGTGCATCGTTTTTGGAGCTATCTTCCAAATAAGTTGGTTGAAGCTCTCATTGCTGTTTTGTGTGTATCCGCCAACACAGCGTTCCAACAATTTGTCATTGCTGAGGTCTTCGTAAATTGGTTTGATGGGATCTAACACCGTTTTTGGCAATGCTGAATAATCGTGACGGAAATTCCTCAGTTCCCCTTTAGCTTTC